AATTGTTCATTGCACTTCAATTTTTTCTCAAATTTTATTTTCTTTCAAATTAATTTTTATTTTTATTTATTATTTTGACAAAATATACAGTAATAAATGTGTTTATTTTTGTTAAGTAGTTAAAATTTTGAATTTATAATTTTGTTTAAATTCTAATATATAGCCATATACTTTATGATAAAACGTAGTTAAAAAATTCAAAAGAAATGAAACTTAAAGTAAATAAACTAAAAAACATGGGGCCCAGCATTTGAAGTAAATAAAAAGGAGGATTACAAAAGTGGTCTCTCTCTAATCTCTATCCATTTTCGTAACCACATTACATTGTCCACCTAAATATACTTGCAATTGTAAAGGAATTTGTAAAGTCTAGGAAATATAGTAGCCTGCCACGTGTAAGAAATGTAGCATATGCTTCCCTTTTATTAAGACTAGAAGCCGAATATCACTGTTCTCTAACACTGGAACTACGCGTAAATTCGTAAATGAAACAATACTGTAGCTCCCGATAAAGGGTTCAATGTAATTTTTGTTTTGTTATTCATCGAAAGAACAAAAGAGGGCGAGTATCTCACCTTGAATCTACTCGCAATCCAGTCAGCAAAGCGAAGTATGCAAAAAGTTGATAAATGTGTTCAAATTTGAGGCAACAATTGTATTGGAATGAGAGGGCTTCAATTCAGATAGACGATGTACCTTATTATAATCGCTGAAAGATTGAAACATGACACTCAGGATTTGAGGGTTTCTCAAAATGGGTTGTCCATGGAAGAGTCGTTTGTGGGGGACGTGAAGTTGTTAAAGCGGGCTTACGCTGGAGGAGGATTGGGGATGGCTCCAAAGTTGTTAAATACGTCTTGGTGAAAAGTTCTTTGGAAATTACGACTTCCACCAAAATCAAGAGTTTCATTTAAAAGTTTCATCTTCAACCATCCCTTCATGTGAAAATCTAGCTCGGAAAAATATAGTATTAGATGGTTGGTGTTTGAGCTGCGGTTGTTCGGAAACGAATACTCATCTTTTCTTTGAATGTGATTGGGCAAGGAAGTTCTGGAAATACACAGAATGGTGGGATGTTATCTCTACTCTTCGGAATCGAGATTTTATCTCCCTAGCTTTGGATATGCTAAATGGGGATTGTGGTGTTGATTTGTGGAATTTTGTTGTTACTTTGTGGCTTCTCTGGCAGGAGTGTAATCGCCTCCGTAAAAGCTTCAAGGCAAGAAGTTTGTAATGAGGTTGGGATTTTAGGATATCCTGTTTAACAGAGTTCGATAGTGCTCAATCATGGCGACTGGGGAATGGAAATCTTCCATGTTAGGATTTGTTTTATGGTTGGACAGGTGGAGGTACTTGTACTAACGACTGGACTCTTCTTTGCGATGTTGCGGTCCACAAGTCCAAAATTGGCTCGGGTAGTTGGTTTTGTGATAAAGAAGGCGTATGTCAGGCAGCTTTCGTAACTTATGTCGAGGGCTCATATTCTCCTACATTAGCGAAAGCGATGGCGCTTCGTCATGGTATTCGCTTTGCACTTGATTCAGACTTAAAGGTGCAAGCGGTGCTAACGGACTCCTAGGAAGTCGGGCGGCATAACTAACTCGGAGGATTTGGACCCTCTCTTTGAGGTGTTTATGGATATTAGGAATCTTTTAACGACTTTAGGCTGCAGCTCGTGTTGCCATACATGTCGAAAGGACAACGTAATGGCCCATCATATAGCTAATTGGGCTATTGCTTCACATTCTTATTATAGGAACGACTCTCTTCTAATTTTGTTTTCATTTATCTTTAATACTAGTGTGATTCCGGCTGTGCACGCACAGCCGGCTCGCATTTAGACAATAATTAGCTAATAGTTATTCTTTTAGCAAAATGAAAAGCAAACTACATCATTATGCATAAATAAGCAGCAAAGAGTTTAGCTAAACGAAATTTACTATAGTTCGATTACATGAAAAGCATTCACTTGTTTGTTGGACAACACACAGGCTTCGAACGCTGAAGATAGTTAATATCATTGATAAATTTTGCATTCTAAGTAATCACTTTATGGTGAATGAGTATCCGAACGTCAAAGTAATCTCTCCACAAGTGACATGTACATGCCATTCATTTGTTGAGCAGACATAGACACTAGTACAAAAAACACATTCTAGGGGTCACTTTTTATATCGGGTGCAACATACCCGATGTATAAAGTAGTATGGTGGCATTTTTGTAATAAAATTATTATTATGTA